GAAGGACAGCTCAGGAGAAGAAGATCCTCGATGAGCTGGATTGATTCAGTGATGGGAGTAATAATGGGGGCAGATGTGTTGGAAATGGTGAGATTGGCACAGGATAGGGTAGTTTAGGGCTGTTGTACATAGGGTCGCTATGAGTCACAGGTGACTCAACGGCACATACAACAACAACAAGATTATATTAGGTATAATAGAAGGAGAATTGATGCCTTTGGGCTATGGCTCTGGAGAAGAGTATTAACTGTACCTTGGACTGCTAGGAGAACAAACAGGTTCATGCTAGAGGGTGAGACCAGACTGCTCCTCGGAGGCAAATCTTCTGAAGCTTTGTTTGACATACTTTGGACATGTTGCAAGGAGAGACCAGTCTTTGGAAAGGATCTCATGCTTCGAAGGGTGGAGGGACAGCTCGAGATAGGAGACCTTGGAAGAGATGGATTGATTTAGTGTCAGGAGTAATTGCGTCAGAGACAATAAAATTGGTACAGGATATAAGATAGAGCAGGGTTTAGGGCTGTTTTATATAGGGTCTCTGTGAGTCGCAAATGACTTGATAGCACATAACAACAATACTAATAATATTTATATAGGGAGGTCCCAATTGTTGGGATAACATAGTTAAATGTCTTGGAAAAAGTAGAGGGTTAGCAAAAGAAGATCTTTAACAAGATGAGGTGGCACAGTGGCAGAGACTTTGAGGATGGTACAGGATAGGGCAAAGATTTGGCTTGTTTATAGGTTGGCTATGAATCCTAGTCAACTTGAAAGCACCTAACAAAAGCATAGTTGACCAGTGCCCTGTTGAACAAATTTGCTAATTGATAACAGTGCCCGTTAGAACATGATTCCAGACTGTTTCTTTGGTTTTGTGGTTTGTGTGTGCATTTTAGAATAAACACCTTTTATACGTGTGCTAAAATGAGAAGGAGGAGATTTATTTGCCTTTCTGCGGTGCTTTGATTTTCTTCAGATAGACTCCAGCTCCTTGCTGTCTAGTACGTCACACTTGCCATCTAGTGGGGTCACACTGGCCTGGCCTGGAAGCGATACACGCAAGAAGCATGCACTATTGGAACTGCTCCTTTAGAAGACTGCTGATTTTTGCATTCTTTTTCCTTTCATCATTTTTTCCCCTGAATTTTCTTGGATTGCTTTTAATCTAAAATCTTTCTCCTCAGGAGTCAGCTTGGCCCCCTTCTTGTGACCCAGGGACAGTGCATAGTGGGACTAATAGAACTGGTGGTACCGTGTGCTGTCAATGAGCACCATGCAAGTTCTTCACTAGGCGCTTGGTTCAGACCAGCTCATTATTGCAGGCATTGTAGACAATATCAATCATAGTTGTTTTGGAGGTACAGCATTCAGAGCCCCAGAAGTTCCCCACAGCCAGTCTTGCAGCACCGTACTTCTTGTTGCCTCCTTTCACATCAACTGTGTGTTTACAGGGGGGACAGTCTTAGTATTGGCAGCCAGGCGTCACAACTCATTTTTCCACTTCTTATGGTAGGGCTCTCTGTTGTTGTCATGGTCTTGAGGCACTTGTGCTAGTTCTCTCAGAAGATGCCAATTGCCCACGATGACTGGAAAGAGTTTTGGGCTGAGAATCTATCACACTAGGATTGTTGTTGTTATGTGCCATCGAGTCGCTTGCGACTCATAGCGACCCTATGTACAACAGCCCTAAACTCTGCTCTGTCCTGTGCCAATCTCACTGTCTCTGACACACTCATCTCGATTGTCCCAGTCACTGAATCAATCCACTTCCCAGAGGGCCTTCCCCTCCTGCGCCTGCTCTCCACTCTCCCAAGTATGATGTCCTTCTCCAAGGACTGGTCTCTCCTTACAACATGACCAAAATATGTCAGATGAAGCCTCAGATTCCTTGCCTCCAAGGAGCAGCCTGGCTTAACTCTCTGCAGGATGAGTCTGTTTTTCTTAGCAGTCCATGGTACATTCAATACTCTTCTCCAGCACCACAGCTCAAAGGCATCAATTCTCCTTCTGTCCTCCCTAGTCATTGTACAACTCTCTGACACATAACAAGTGATTGCAAAGACCATGGTCTCTATCAGACGCACCTTAGTCTTCAGAGATACAGTTGCTCTTCAGTACTTTGGAGAAGTCCCTAACAGCATACTTTCCCTTCACAATACTTATTTTAATTTCCTGGCTGCTGCTGCCAAGAGTGTTGATTGTGGAGCCAAGCAGACTAAAGCTAGGATTAGATGAACCAAACAATGAAATAATGTTAGGCAGGAAAGGATCTTATCTGTTAGTTCAATTGCTTCCTTTTCAGAGAGACAATGGAGGTTCAGAGAAGTGATTTACTGGGTGCTATTTACTGTTTATTACTATCTGGGCTATGTCATTATTGAAGACTCTAGGGTTAAATAATAGGAGAGCTCTCGTGACCTAGTTTGTAGAGTTGTACTGCTAACTGAAAGGTTATCCTTCACTGGTGGTTTTAATCCACCAGCAGTTCCCAGTGGGGTTAAAATGGGCAGTTTCTGCCCCTGGGTTTTATAGTCTTGGAAGCCCAATAGAATGCCACTTATGAATGGACAACTGCTCATTAGCATGGAAAAGTGAAAATTCAGAGAAGGACGGGCAGTCTCAGTAAAGATTTACAGCTTCAGACACGATGAAGGGTTGCTTTAAGTCTACACCAACTGGTTGGCAGTGGAATTGCACGCTGAACCTTGATGACATGGATTTTAACCATATTTTGCTATTGTTTGTCAATGCACTATTTATTAAGCTACTTAAGTATGCCCCCTCAAATTTCCATCTCTCCCAATTTGGTGTCTCAATTTCTTATATAGAATAAGGGTGATTGAGAGTACAAGGTTGTGGGACGGCTTTTAAAGGACTTTAAACAGCCTTCTGCCTGTGGATAACTTGTCAATAAACACGAATCATAGCACCGGGCTGGTGCAGTTAGTAGGAATGGTTACTTCCTGAAAGAATTTTCTGGACATCTACTTTTGGTGTTTTTTTGTTTTTTTTTTTGGAAATCTACTTTTGAAAAACTAGCCATTTAAAATTCCAGGGAGCACACGTCTAATCTGATGCTACAGGGGCCACCAGGAGTGGAAAACAAACCCACCAACAACTGAAGCTGGGATTTATACCAAAGTTTTAAATGGCTCATTTTTGAAATACGAAATATCTTTTTTGTCCCTTTTTTAAAAAGTTCCTTTTAGTGATTGTATCACTCTTTTTAAAGGTATTTAAACTTGAGCCGGGAGCTTTGATGGCCAAATAGCTAAGGAGTTGTGCTGTCAGCCCAAAGGCAGATGGTTCAAATCTGTTGGTCTGAGAGAGAAATATGAACAATCTCCTGTGTGTGATTTACCACCTCTGAAAATCCACTGGAGTCTCTGCTATGAGTCTTTTCTGACTGGATGGTATGCAACAACAAATCCAAGTCAGTACTTTTATACCCATTTTAAATTTTAGTACAAATAACACACAACACATCCACATACATTTAAGGCGTGTGGAACGAGCACAACTGAAGTATTTGTGGAGAACACAATCAATGGGTGGAGGTGAATGTCTCTAGAAGGAAGGTGGGACCTTTACTCAGGGCAGCTGACAGACAAAGACTTGAAACTTTCACATATCGAAGGCGAGAACTGTTGTACTTCCTACGTGGTAGTGTTGATAGAAAGAGAATTGATGCCTTTGAGCTTTGGTGCTGGAGAAGAGTGTTGAATATACCATGGATTGGTAGGAGAAAAAACAGGTTTGTCCTGGAGAAGGTGAAGTCGGAATGCTCCTTGGAGTCAAGGATTCTGAAGCTTTGTCTGACATACTTTGTGCATGTTGAAAGGAGGGACTGGTCGTTGGAAAGGGACATCATGCTTGGGAGAGTGGAGGGACGGCACAGGAGAGGAAGACCCTCAATGAGATGGATCGATTCTGTGATTAGAGTGGTGGGAAATAAGTGCGTTTGAGATGGCTAGGTAGGCATAGAAGAGCGTTTAGAGCTCTTGTACATAGGGTCGCTATGAGTCGCAAACTACTCGATGGCACATAACAACAGTGCACATCAAGTGTTGTCCCCAAACTCCTGTCTCACCCCCTGGAATGTCAAGCCAAGGCCTGAAGGTGACGAAAATGTACAGGCAACTGGAATTGTTTTCAAGTTTTGGTTTTTACACATCAACCCTTAAGAGAAAGGGCCTTTTTATATAGGTCATTTTGGGGGGGTGGGTGGTTGTGGCTCCTTTACAGTTTTATTTACACTCAACTTCTCTCAGGGCTGGTCCAGTGGCGTCCTTCACATCGCGTCTTTGTCTCACAGCTACCCCGCTCCCCTTTGTTTCCACCGCTCCTTCTAAAGAAGGGGTGGACACTGAACCTCTGGGAAGGAGAAATAAAGGTGAGGATGGCAAAGACTCCCCTCGCCACACAGGGAAGGCGAAAGCCCAAGGTGCTGAAAGCAACGACTCTCAGGTGGCAACTCCGGCCGCTCCACCGCCCCCCGCCTCCCGGCCCAGGAGCACGGGGGCGGAGAGCGACTCGGCAGACATCTCCGATTGGCTGAGGGAGCCAAGGCGCCGCGCTGCGATTGGGTTACGGGGCTGTCTGGCGCAAGCGAGTGCGAGGTGAGGAGGGGGTGGCTACAAGCTCCTCGAAGTCAGGGGGCGGGGGATGCGGCAGGGGCAACCGAAGGGCCGCACCCGGCCTCGCCCGGCCTCGCCGGTCCGGTCCGGTCGCGGAGGCAGTGGGCTGCGGGACCAGCGCGGAGCCGGTGGTAGGCGGGTCGCGAGCCGCGGGCGGGGGAGGAGAAGGAGGGGCGAGCCGGGTCGACACCTCCTTCGGCCCCTCCCCGTACTCCCTCCCGGAGGCGCTCTTCAACCGCGAGCGGCGAAGGGCTTGGAGCATTGGTTACATCCCCATCCTCTTCGTCCTCGGCCGCCGCTGCCTCCTCCGCCGGGGCACAGCGCGGTAGTCCACAAACGCGTGAGCCACCGAGGCAGGGAGCGGGAGGCCGAACGGAGACTCCGGCCATGGCCACCACCAGCACCACGGGCTCCACCCTGCTGCAGCCCCTGAGCAACGCCTTGCAGCTGCCCATAGACCAGGTATCCCCGTGCCGGCCCGCGCGCGCCCCCCCGCTAGCCCGGCTGCCCGGGCTCGGGCGGAGTCAGTGTGGGGGAGCCGCCCCCACGGCAGGCTGCTGCCTCGGCTCCGGGAGAAAAGGCATCTGGTGGCATCTAGTCCTCGCCGCCCTCCCCTGGGTCGCTGTGCCCATCTGCTCGGGAGCCCGGGGAAGGGGTGGGGGCGGGGGCTCGAGGCCAGGGAAACCCAAGTGCCACTCTGCTCTGCCAGCCCCTGCAAGGGAGGGGGCGATAAACCTGTTATTGTCTAATAACAACACCACTCTGTGACTCTTGGCTGCCTCTCCTCTGCCCTCCTCAGCGTGCCCACCCAGCCCCCCATCTCTATCCCAGTTAGTCCCTCTGTTCCGAGGCGGGGGTGGGCATGTGCAGTGTTACATGCTATAGACACGTTGGGAGGGTTATTTATATAGACGTGCGTATGTGCATGCTTGGTCCGTGCACTCTGCAACAGCAGCTCTCGTCGAATTTGCGCCTGTGCATGCACCCAGTTGCTGAACGTGTGTCCTGAAGCAGCTTCCTTTGCATATGGGCATGAGTATAGATAGGATGTTCAAAAGACTGTGCTTTGTAAAAGCTTGAATGTTTGTGGCCGCCACTGCATATTGTCACTGAATGTAACTCAACGGAAAAGCATTTAAGGTTGTCGTGAGGTCTAAAGAGCCTGACGTTGAACTCTTGGCACATGGGAATGTACGGATGTGAAAGAGGGCGGCATTATCAGTATCGGCATTATCAGTATTGTGCTTTTGGGACAGTATTGTTAAAGTGTGGTTTAGGATAAAGAAGGAACAGTAATAGGGTAAGGCAGAGGTTATGAAGAAAGTAATGGTGAGTTAATAATGCAAGGATTTCTAGCACTGAAAGTTTTAACTTTGTAAATAGACGGTACCCTTACCTTCATTTCCTCCCTTTTCTCTCTTCCCCTCTCTAAAAAGCCATATGACACTGTAGGTGGAAGGATTGTCTTTACATGAGACTAATTTAAGTTTGATTGTACAGAAAGCCCAACTGTTGCAGAAAACAAAACAGTATATTAAGAAGGAGAAAACAGCATTATTTTTATTTAGAAAAGAAAATATTTTGTGTTAGAGCATTATAGGGCATTCCTTGAGTATAGTTAGATAATTGCTCTGGCCCCAAGTTAGAGGTAACTAACTTTGGAAAACTTTGTTTAAAATTATTTCAGGTGTTCTTGATCTGGAAAAGTGTTGAGACTTTACAAGGGATATGGGTACACTATCTTTATCTTGAGTTGTTTCGGTAACTGACGAAACCAGGAGTGTAATTCCCTGTATTCTGTTCTTTTGGGGCCATACTGCTTCTCAGCAGCAAGATGGAAAGAACTCCTAATAGAATACTAACTGCTTTTTTTGCTTTACTCCTTTTGAAAATAGGCTGAAGTATGACCCAGGATGATTCTAGATTCTGTTCAGAGTACCTTACTATGTGTCAGTGATAGTTTTGGTCAATAGTAAAATCCCTATTTCCCCTATAGGTATTGAAAAACAGTTATAATACATACCATGCTAATTAAGTACTAGCAGTGAAATTAACCATATATTATACATTCTTCTGTGTTTACTAATAAACTGGGATTTTTGTCTTTTCAGCCCTGTGGTGGCTTCTCACTGATTTCCAAACTGAAATGCAGACCTTTTATTTCTTACACCCCTGACTTAAGTAGGTTGCTGCCTCTCTAATTATATTCAGGGTAGGTATCTGTTTAAGAATTTTATTGCTGATAAGGAGTAAGGGAAATAGGCCTGTATCTTTTAATTTCCTATAGGGAGACACATCTTCTTTTCTCTTTTGTTTTCTTTTATTTTTGCCTTAACCCTAACCCTCCCATCTATGATGAAATTATATTCTTTACTATGCTAATGCCTTTTTTATGTAATGCTTACAACTTTTAAAGTGATTCATTATTAATAAACTCAAGCATTTAGAAATCTAGAGGACAGTCTTTAGTACTGATATAGCAGGGGAATCTAGGGAAGGACTGTCGGGACTTTTTTGACTTTATTACATAAAGGTTTTAATTTTGTACTTTGGACAACCTTCATTCCCTTGGGATTGCTGTGCTGTGAAACTGCTTTAGTTTTTCTTCTCTGAGCAAGTCTTGAGAATAGCACATAGCTTTTGCTTTTTAAAATGTTTATACAATTCTTTGACTTGTTGCTGTTGAGAATGTAACCAGTGTTACCAATTCAGCTATTTCTCCATGTACAGTTTAGTGACATTGATTACATTCTTCAAGCTGGGCAAGCATTCCCACCTTCTTTTCTGTTCAGATTCTGATCTAATCTTTCAGGTTTCTGTTGTTAATTTGATCCCTGATAAATAGGTCTTATAAGAGCACAGTGTTCTTTTTTAGTAGTTAAGGTAAACTCTTTTTTGTTGTTGTTATGTGCCTTGAGTCACTTGCGACTCATAGCAACCCTATGTACAACAGCCCTAAACTCTGCTCTCCTCTACATCCATCCATCTCACTGTCTCCCATGCCTATTACCCCAGTCACTGAATCAATCCACCTCATAGATGGCCTTCCCCTCCTGCGCTGTCCCTCTACCCTCCCAAGAATGATGTCCCTCTCTAAGGACTGGTCTCTCCTTACAACATGTCCAAAGTGTGTCAGACGAAGCCTCAGAATCCTTGCCTCCAAGGAGCCATCCGGTTTAACCCTCTTCAGGATGAATCTGTTTGTTTTCTTAGCAGTCCATGGTACCCTCAATACTCTTCTCCAGCACCACAGCTCAAAGGCATCAATTCTCCTTCTATCCTCCCTAGTTATTGTCCAACTTTCTGACATAGAACAAGTGATTGCAAAGACCATGGCCTGTATAAAAAGCACCTTAGTCTCCAGGGAGACACCATTGCTCTTCAGTACTTTGGAGAGGTCCCTAACAGCAGACTTTCCCATCGCAGTCCTGGCCCAGTGGCAAAAAGCTGCATTGCAATCCCAGAGGTATGCGGTTTGAATCCACCAGATGTTTCTGCTGGAGAAGGAGGGGCAATCTCCTCCTATACCATTCAGATCTGATTTGACAGTACACAACTCTTGTTTAGTCTAGATTTAATCTTAGTTGGATCCATAATCAACATCCATGGTAGCAGCAGTCAAGAATCAGATATGTTGCAGTGGGAAAATCTGCTGCCACAGACCTCCCCAAAGTGCTAAAGAACAAAGGTGTTGATTTAATCCAAGCTATGTTATTTTTAGTTGCTTTCTGTGCATCTGAAAGTTGAACAGTGAATAGAGTGACAGAAGAATAATCAATGCTTTTGAATTGTGATGTAAGAAGATAATACTGAATACACCATGGATTGCCAAAAGAGTAAACAAGTCAGCTTTGGAGGAAATGTAACCAGGGTACTCCATAGAGGCAAAGATGGTGAAACTTGATCTCACATACTTCGACCAGTCCTTAGAAAAAGACATGCTGGAAAGGGGGCAGGATTGGAGAAAGAAAATTTCAACATGATAGATTGACACAGTAACTGGAAGTATGGCTGGAGCATATCAAATAATGAGGATGGTGTTGGAGATTTGACTTGATGACACCTAATAATAGTAATAATACTGTTTAGGTTTTTTAAAATTTTTTTATTTTAATGAAAGTCTACAGAGACTTAGGGTTTCCAGTCATTCATTGTTGCACTTCTCCCTGCCCTCCCCTACCCCCCCAGTTCTCTCTTCTTTTTGAAAAGTAAAAGAATTCTTAAATTGTTATACAATCCCTCCCCCTGAGTCCACTCCACTTCATTCTGGATTCCTGTCATGACAGTAATACCTAATCATATATCCCTTTTAAACAGTTCTCTCCCTCATCTGTTTCAATGCAGTATACATTATTCCTCTCCCCCTTTTCTATCGTCCCTCAACCCTGATGTCAGTACCGTTTTACAACAGTGGCACTATGCAATATTTGTCCTTTTGTGACTGAGATATTTCACTCAGCATAATGTCCTCCAGGGTCACCCATTTTGTATATTTCATTAGTTCCTTGTTTTTCAGTGCAGCATAGTATTCCATTGTGTGAATATACCAGAGCTGCTCTGTCCATTCCTTTGTTGATGGGCACTTGCGTTGTTTCCAGCTCTTTGCGATTGTGAACAAAGTAGCAATAAACATGGGTGTGCATATATCTGCTTGTATGGTTGTTATGGTTTCTTTAGGGTAAATTCCAAGTAGTGGAATTGCTGGCTCAAATGGTATTTCTGTTTGCAGCTTTTAGAGAAAGCGCCATACAGCCTTCCATAGTGGTTGCACCATTTTACAGTCCCACCAAAAGCGAATAATACCATTTCGTTTTAAGAAGATCTCACGGTATACATTGTTTTCCCTTGTAAAATTTTTTATTAGGATTTCACTGAAAGCTTACACAGCACAATGGTTTTCCAGTCAGCCGTTCATATACATTTTGTTTTATGACACATCCCACTTGCCCTGAAGTTACAGAGGACATCAATAGAAGTGAGTGAATATTAAAACTAGTGCTGAGCAACCAGTAACTGTTTGCCAGTGAGGATGACAGTATGGTAGATAGCATGATAGGATAAACACTTATAAACTAGAATGATAGGGAAAAGGGGAGTATGATAGTGTGATAGGATAAACGGCTTAACGATCTTCACTAAGCACTTCATTTTATTAAACTACTCCTACTTAATGAATGGAAATCTAAGTTCTCTAGACTTTAGTGAAAATTAGAAGAAAAAAGTTTAAAAAACCCCCCAAACCCTACTCCTACATGCCTTCAATAGACGGAGGCCATCAAAAGATGTGACTGGTAGAACTACAGCTCTCAGAATTCTTTCATTAACTATTGTTTGCCAATGAGGATAATATGAAGATCCTGTGCCTTTGAAAGGATTAAAGGATTTCCACCCAAGGTCCTTCCAGAACCTGAGCTTGGTTCTCACCTGACACTGCCCCCTGAGCTCTGGGATGGACCTGTGTT